AGGTTTGTGTCACTCATTTAACACTGCAATTTCCCTAGAGGATTATGCACCAAACAGAGATAGCAAGCTCATGAATATTAATCATTTCCCTGAATGCAATGCAGCCCGCCAAACAATAAGATTAGGGGAAAGTGCTATGCTTAATTTATGGATAATGGGAGAGGTAAAGGATAGAGCTCCCACAAAGGTAAGGCTCACAGCTGGAGGGAGAGGCCTCTGAGGAGGAGAAGGATGGATCCAGATTTGTAAGGTAGCAAAAAAAAAACACATTTGAGGCTGAGCAGAAGGGAAAGAAAAGGTGTTTAAGGATCACTGTCACATGAAAATCATACTTCTCCCTGAACCACCACTGGTGACTAATGCTTCAAGCATGCAGAAATCGGTGGTAAATTCAAGAGCTAGATACATTTGTTTTCTCTTTTCTTCCACTCTGTGCTTTTTCTTTATATTTTACATCCCTGAGGCCCCGATTCAACAAACCACGGAGATGTGTGCCTAACCCGAAACATTCAGGTTCTTCGGTGGGACCGCTCGTGTGGAAGTCAGCGGAAGCGTTGCCCTGTTTTGCTGCAAAAAGGCTTCAGCGAAGAGTCCCTTACAAGCAAAGGAGATAAAGTCTAGCAATAACAACACCAATAAGATGCGACTGAAAACCCCATAAATTACCAAGACAAACTTAAGGGTAGATAGAAGTTCTGAAGCGACTTCCCAGCTGTGTTTCAATGTGTCTATCAGCCTTCACCCATCTCTTTTCATATTACTTTCTCTCCCCCTCCCTTCTTTTTTATTGATCTCTGCATCTTTTTTATTATATCCTCCTCTTTCTTCAGCGCCAGCGAGCTAAATCAATGCATAATGCACATCACACTCGACAAAAGGAATGCAAATGAAAGCATCGCCCTTTCTCAATGTCCGCACATATATCTCAACGCATGTGTAGGACGTTTGTGTGGGGGAGAGTGCATACCAAGGACAAGGTGCTCAGCTGCTTGTTAGACACCCATTTCTCACTGGTCCGGTGGGAATGGATCAAGTGTTAGAAAGCTCTGGGTTCCCACACTGCAAATCATAACTCTTACGACTGGGGCTTGTTTCACACAGGACACGTTGGCTTGAACTTGGCTGAGATCCGCTGTAATCGCAAAAATCAGTTCTCCCGGGAGTAATCAAGAGCAAGGTGAAAGAAAAGCAGCCAAGAGGTAGGAGAGGGGTGCATCCATCACAGCGGACACGACTTTGATCCACTTGGCTCTCACAAATCAAAAGGCAAAGTGAAACTTTCCCCGTGGGACCAAATTCTACGCGGAGGAGATAAAATATGCAAAATCTGCGACGCAAAGGGGTAAGAAAAAGTAGAGACGATAAATTTGAGGATGGGGAAAGGTGAGCGTACAGCAGAACTTAAAAAAAGGAGTACTGCCAGATGCTTCCATTAATTAATTAATTAATCTCACTGTCGCTCTTCAGCATGTTGCAGGAAGAAAACGCTATTAATCTTATCTGTTTTCTGTTACTCGGCTTTGTGTTCGGAGAAGGCCAGGACAGCCTGACAGTAAGACCACACAGTTTTCCTCCCTGCCTCCCTCCTGCCTTCCCCCACGCCCCTCCTCCTGTGGCAGAGCAGATTGATCCACTGTTATCTGATTAGAGAGGAAAGGAGGAGGGAAAACAAAACCGAGAGGGAAAAAAAAGTCTAATTTTATTACAGGCACTAGCGCAAAGTGTCTTGAGAGCCTTGTGCCATTTATTCCAAGGGAAGTTGGACCAATTAAAGAACCCCATAAACCTCACGATCCTAAAATGCAAAGGGAGCAAGAGAGGCAGGGGGACACCTGCAAACAGGCTGCCTCCATCCTTGGAGATGTCCAAATGCACCCAGACATGACCCTGAGCAACATGCTCAAATTCAAATCTAGATCTAACTTTCAAATTGGCCCTTCCTGGACCCGAGACCTCCAGAAACCCCTTCCAGCCTGAATTAGTCTGTGATTCAGGGCTCTACATCTAAAGCCTGGCAGTGTTTGCAGGCTCTGCTGTATTGCTCCTCTACCAAGTGAGGTGACTTCCACGGTCTCTCCTTCGGAAAGAAGCAGCCTGCTTGCGTTTTGCTATCAAACCTCCCTCCTCCGGCCCTGCCTTTGCAAACAAGACACTTAGTGATTATTTTCAGCCGTGTGGGACCCGATCCTGCAGACAATTTGTGCCAAGCATTGCATTCCCTGTTGTGGTTAGATTTGCTGAAGTCTAAAGAATGCCTTGTGGTAGTTCAGAACCGTGCCTGGAAGGAAGGATTTGCAAGATCAAACCCTGAGGCCCCCAATTCAGCAAAGCCTCTGAACATGTGTTTGAGGCTCTCGGAATTCTTTGGTGAAGAGGAGGGATTCCCGGGGCTCTTAAAAGCTACATAATACGACAAGAACGTCACTGCAAAAATAACACTGTTTGAAATAATTACTTGTTGTCCTACAGGATTATAACATGTGTTAGCCTTGTAAACATGGAAATAAATTACGCTTATTTTTCTGTGCTACTCAAGCAGGGACCCAAGCATTCTGTGTTTTCCAAGAAAACACCCCAGCAGCCTCAGGGACGACTAATGTTTGGCTAAAGGCAGGGGATCCAGTCTGATATTATTAGATTATGGAGAATGCTGAGTTTCTGCTCTTTTTAATTATTATTCATTCTGCAATATGTACAGTCACTCGCTTCCCCAACATCTTTATGTTTTATTGTGAGATTTTAATGCTTGATACACTAAAACAGAATACAAACCAGTGCTGTTCATTTGAAAGACTAGCCAGCAGTTTCTCTCTAGCTCTTTAATATTCTAATTCTTGGTGGTCCAGGCCAACAGGGCCAGTTTCACAGGTATCACCTTCTCTGAACCTGTCCTAGGGACTTGACAAAGGCAGTTTGCCCCAAAACAGCAGCCGATGGTCTACCCTCGCAGACCCAGCACGCGCTGAGGCCACCACTGCCACACCAGTTGCACCACCACAACTGTAGAGTCAAGCAACAAAACATCTACAAGGTCTGGGTCCGTGCACCTTTCCACTGATCCAGCTACTTTGATTCACCTGAGTCCCCATATTCAGTATTTCCCAAACAACTGAATTTTATTTGATTCGCTTTTGTAAGCCAGGATCTGCGCAAAACCACAAACTTCCAAAGCCCATAAAGAACAAACAACTTTTTACCTCTGGGAATTCCCCTTTTATTTTCAACACAAGCAAATCTGAAAAGTCACTTCCTCCGTAACGGTGTAGAAAAATCTGTGTGTATGTTTTAGTTGCTTCATTTTCTAATCACATCGCTGTCAGACAGGTTTTTCCCCCACTCTTCACCAGCCCTGTTGCTGATACCGAAGAGGAATACATACCCAGGCACGAAGAAGGCTCCTGCGCTCCCCTGGCAGGACATCGCTGTGTGCTCCAGGGCTGGGGACACCCCACTCTTACCCCTGTCCATGGGCTTATCTGGAGCATGTTGCAGCTGCTGCCCAGCCCACACAACCCAGGTTCCTTGAGAACCAGTGCACACAGGGGAGGACCTGGGTCACATCCCAGTGTAATTCTGGGATGTGGTCAAAAACCTGGACCAAGGAGCTCAGACTCACTGCTGAGCAGGGTGATGAAGATGCAACTGTACAGCTCCAACCCCAACCCTTGCTGGCACCAGCCTTGTACTAGGCCTGACTTTCGGAGAACCCAAAACATTTGCATAAAGTGTTTATCTCACTTTCAAAATATTATGACTAATATCTTTCGGTGCTTGAGGCTCTAACGCAGCAAGTTACGTGAAACACAAACGTCACTTCAAGACCACCAATAGTCACAATTAGCCTCCACCATAAACACCCTCAGATTTCAATAGAGCAATTTACATATGTAAATATGTAAATAACAACATCACCAAATCAGGCCTCAGCTCCCGCAGCCTGGGATGCTGAAGTACAAACGTAGCCATTGCGACGAGACAAGCAGTCCCCAGCGTACCACCCAAGGGAACCATGGTGCCTGTGAGGTCCTTCATACGTTGCTCCAGGCACAAGAAATAATCATCCACTTGCCAAAAAGAACAAATTTCAGTCTTGCCGACATTAGTTATCTGCTTAGGATGGATACCCTGAGCTGAAGGCATGAGAACACTAGATGGGACAGAGTATTTGCTTGGTCACTCCAGATAAGGAATCTCATGGATCTCTTGAGAAAAAGCCGACCCCTTATAAACATTAACTTTGGTTTCAGAATCTCTGCACGTTTCATCCTTCCCCAGACCTCAGCCCTGTTTGGGAAATGCAATCCCATAATGCAGGGCTACCCCACAGAAGGTGCAGGGTAAATTGGTCTCCCTTTCCCTTCTCTGCCTCCAGCATTCCTAGAGAGTTTAATAAATATGTAAAGCTCACAACCGCAGCCCTGCTATCCCCGATAGCTCGAGCATCTTCCGGCCATTGTGCTTACAGGTTTTGCTAATCAGAGCAAACCAGGCTTGCAAATGAAATCTGATTAAGTAGTTTTCACCTCTGAAAAAGGGGATTAGCTAGACCTTTGATCCTCAGATATCGATTTGCAACTCAAAGGAGGTGTGACCTCAGCTGGACTTGCTTCTGGGTCTCAGTCCCTTCCCCTTTCACTCCTCCTCCTGTTTACCAGAAAAAAAAAAAAAATCAGTTCATGTCTTCTCACGTAGCCAGATCTAAAGCCTATTGAAGCCAGTGGAAAACCACCCACTGACTTCAATGGGCTTGGGATCAGTCCCACAATGGCTGACTTAGCCCCAAGTCCTGGGCTGTTTCAAAGCCAGCAGAACCAATTTCCCATCAAAATGACCAGAAGCTGGGAAGATATGTTCGCCTTTCAAACCTACAAATTCCACCTTTTTTTTCCCTCTCCCGTGACAACTCTTCAGCTGGAAATGCTGCAAATACTGTTGATTTTTTCCTTGCACTCTGTGTAGAGTCGCCCGCCACGAGTGGAAGGGCTCTGGGCCAGACTTACCGATGCAATTAAAGGATAACTCCTGCAGGCAGAAGAGGGAGCAGCCATCACCGTTGATCTTATTCATATCATCGCATTCTTCCCCCAAGTCTCTGTAGGCAGGGAACACACATGCAAAGAGGAGTCAGATGGCAAACAGCATCATCCCAATGATTGCTGCAAACCCTCTGCAGACCCCCACAGTCCTGAAATCCAGTACAGCACCTTTATGTGCTGACCCTTAAAATACCTCTCCCTTCCTCCTCCAGCCCTGACTTTCATCATTCCTGGTTCACAAGCTTGCCTGGCCACTTCTCTCCTGCACACATGGATTCCACTTTCTGTTCCCCGATGAGGATATGAGAAGCTTCCTTCAGAGCTGGTGAGGCTGCAGCTCAGCAGGTGGGGGAAAAGAGATCAGGAGTCTCTGAAACTCTTTGTACTAAACCTGGAAGGTTCAGACTGTGACTCCAGCATGGGAATAACAAGGCATAAAGCCTGGTGCTAGGCTATTCCAGGTGACAGCACAGGGAGGAGAGCAGTCACCAGGGAGCAGGTAGTATTGTGGACGGGGTCCTGCCTTGCGCCAGCCCGCATGGGGAGAAGAGCGTGACCCAGCCCCAGAAGCGGCTGCCACCGCCCAGAAGCGGCTGCCACAGCTGCAAGTGGGGCCACCACCAACCAAGCTGGGACACGGGCTGGTTCCTGCTCGCTCCTGAGGCAGCTCAGCTATTGTTCGACGCTTGCTGCAAAGCCACAAGTGATGGTTGAGGAATGTGCAAACATAACAGTAGGAGAAAAGTTATGGAAAGCAAAATTAATCCTTCTCCACCTCTCTCTCCAAGACTGCCCTGGATTCATATGTCGTTTGATTGTTCTCTTTGATTTCCCTGCCTGTTGGGCTTCATCCTGCAAATACTTGCTGCCAGGTGTATCATCTGACAGAGTCGTACTGTGTGATTGCTGATCAGCATTATTTCAATAAAATAATACTGGCTAGATTAAGCACTTGCTTGTTGTTACTTCCGTCATTTAAATAATTAAATTATCAAATGCCAGGAAGCTTTGAAGCAGGTGGCCTTAAGAGCCAACCTTAAGCAAAAGAATAAACCCTAAGGTAGTTGTGAATGGTTGTTTTAGATTTTCAGTGGTCTGAGGACTGGCAGCCGGTGAGAGGGAGGAGCTCACTGAGAACATGCAATTCCCAGCACTCTCCCTCTCGGCCAAATCCATCTCCTCCAAATGCAGCCCAGCTCCAGTGCTCAGTCACACAAGAGGTAGCACCAGGAACCCGTCCCAGAGTGTGAAAGGGGTTTTACCCCGTAACGACAGCATCAAAGACTTGAAATTTTTTCCATCACTTACTCCAGCTCCATATAGGAAATGTCATATACACCCATCAAGATAGGGATAGACAAACAAACAGCACAAACAGCATAGAGCGCACTTTCCTATCGATCCTGCTGCCTGGGCTCCATTATCTGTATCTCTGTCTGTATCTACTGGTGCCAGGATAGCAGAGCCTAAGTTCCAATTAAATGTCATCATCCTGGTAATCATCAAGCACATGAGTCATTAGCAATAGATGAGAGCCAGCCTAAACTGAGGAGACATCAGAGGTCATCAATTCCTTTCTAGTCTCGGATTCTGGCTGAGTAGATGTGCCCAGATCTATCTGTTTGCTCACTCCAGACTTACACTTGGATAATCCCGTCTCCACAGTATCCACTTCCAGAGATGTACACAAGCTCAGGGGAAGGCTCGCTCTCCTCCGTCCCGGAAACAATGACGACCTGGTACGTGTACGTGGTCCTATTGCTCAGCTCCCTGCAAGACAAGCGGAAACATTAACTGATCAGTACAACAAAGGCAGCAGCAAAGGGCATAGAAGGAGGTGCTGAAATGGAGCTTCACTGCCGAAAAAGCAAGTTTTAGTTCAATCAGGTCCTCAGAATATTCCTACCTCATTTTGATGGGATGAATTTTTGGTTGAGTGTCTTTTTCTTGGGAGCACAACAGTGCTACCTACATCCACGCCCGATTTCTGCACAGCGCTGAAATAGGTGCGGCTCTGGACTGTTTGACAGCTAAACTATTTGCTGATGAAAATCACACAGTTCAGAGTGCTGCTACTTACGTCTATACCCGCTATAGGGATGGCATTGCACTGACACCATGCCGGCCTATCAACCCTCCTCACGTGCAGGGGAAATGATAACAGCATTGCCAACAGTCGATTGCACTGCAGCATTCGAGAAACCAGCCCCGGGCTTCACTGTGCTCAGCCTCTGAGCACTTCTGCTCCTGCCTCTCCACGGCAGGGACAGCGTTACTGGCAAGTTTGGGGCATAGTTCATTTAAGGAACTTCAAATACCCTGCAAACACTGATGAATTCCCCGACAGCCCTGAGCACAATCCAACGGTAGCTGGAGCCAGTGGGAATTTGCCTATTGATTCAAGACAGAATTGGACTGGGGATGTTTCAGTGAGAGATAAATAAGTTATCCACTTTGCACAGAGGTATTGAAACAATAGAGTTAAAAAGGACAGCACAAAAACTAGGATCCACAGCACAGCACTGCATCACGGTATTAGCGCTGAAATATTTACAGAAAGAATTAGCAAACTCTTACATATTTATGCAAAGCCATAATTACCTAAATCCTGTGCATCTCTAAATGAGGAATAATTTTTTATGTGCAATACAGAAATAATAAAGAGCCTAATATAAACATTTAGCTCTTTTACAATGTCTTTTACATTATCAGAACTCAAAATGTTCCACAAAGAAACTCATTACCGTTATGCTCATTGTGCCGATTTGTAAAGCCACAGAGTGGCAAAGGCAAAACGATTTGTTCAAAGTCATCAATCAGGCTAATTGCAGAGCCCATAATGCACCCCAGCTCCTTCCTAACCCACACCGCTCCTCTGCTTACTCACTCATATTGCCCCAATTACTGACAGTAACATACACGGCTTTTTGTCACAGGAACCCGGTCAAAAAGCCTGGATTAATGAGGTGTGCACAACGGAGAGATGTATCTGCTACGCAGAGCGACAAACCCACTGAAGTAGGTATCAATGGACTGCAGTTACTGACATCTTCAAGTTCATGAAGTATCTCCTTACAACATTCATTAAACTAACAAGCATGACTTCAACTCCCATATCACACGTTATATTTTACAACGAAGCCGTTTCTCATGGATGCTATGCCTGCGAAATAACTGTCATCGAAGGAATTGCGCACGGACAGCAGGGGGATTTGGTCATTTGTTACCACCCTTGAGATGGAGAGTGAAACTCAGCGCAACAAAAACACAACACAACTGGCTTTCTCATTGCTTCCTTACCACACGCCTGTCGGCAGAACTCTGCAGCTCTTATTAGCTGTATTTCAGGGTTTTAAACACTATTTTAATTAAATAAACTTAATTTAACACTATTTTAATTCACCTACAGATTGGGGAGACATCTACCCAGATATCAGTATCAGTGTTTATTCAATCAAAGTGAAAATTTTCAAACTTCTGCTCTTGGGACCTGTTTAAAGCAACTGTTTTGAAAAAAAAAAAAATATAGGAAATAACTTAAGTGGCCAAACACACACTGATGTATGATACTGAGTGCTTCCTCTAGATTTTACTCCCGGATAAATCCACTTACTAAGACAGGAAGTTTCTGATATGTACTGATGAAATCAAAGCGGAGGCAAGCTTTGATTATTAAAGAGCAGTTATTTCTCAAGTTCTTTCCTCAAAACGAGTCGTGAAATATTTAAGATTAACAAGTATACTTGCAGAAATGTGGATTTCGTCACTGGGGATCTGCTAACCACAAAAAAGGTTCCATTCTGTTAACAAATGAACAGTTGGGGCAGCTCTAACAGCTACAAAATAAATAAATCCATGCTGCTTTCTGATGTGCTGAGATCACATATGTGAGTGCAAAATAGTAGTTTGCAGATTCCAATTTTGCCCGTGATTTCCTCCGATACCCACAGGTGATGGGCAGGCAGTCGGCGCACAGTGGCATGCGTGCCTCTGCCAGCGTGTTTTAGTAGGTGGGAGCGTTTGTCTCTGCCTGTGTGTACATGTAAGCAAAGGGGAAACAGGAAAAGTTCAAATTTGTTTATGTACAGGGTGGGAAGTTGGCAGAACGCAATGGAAGAAGTCGTAGTAAATTAAGCACGGGAGAGAATCTGGTGTTTATGAATTATTAGGTGACTGGAGATGAATGTGCATGTGAGTGAATAGGACAGAAAACTGGAAATGAGAGCTATTAGGTGGGGAGAACTCTGGCACGTTTAACTGTATGGGTTGTGAATGCAAAACCTCGTATGGGGAGAGGAACCTGTGGGCATCAGAGAAGACTGACTGCTGGCTTTGGTCTAATCTTGTCACCTGCTACACGCTGGTGAGGGGAGATTTTGAACCACAGCCGGCTGCTCAGAAAAGGAAAGCTCTTGAAGAAGTGATATGTCTCAACAGGCAAATGACAGGAGAAAAAAAAAAAAAAGACATTTCTTCTCCAAAAAAAGAAGGCGAGCAAAATATCTGACTTCTTACACGTGCATTTAGGTATTGGTACAGCCTGGCTTCCCTTACTCCTACACAGCCTGGGTACAAAACAGCTATGAAGTTATTTATGCTCACGATACCCCATGAGCTATGAACACAATATCCTGGTCTTAGGTCATAACACAGAGAAAGGGAAAAAAAATGCCTGGAGACATATAGTCACTGTAAAGCAACATGAGGTCCAGGAGCCAGCTCTCCAGTCCTCCCCATCCTGACCCCAGCTCCCCTCTTGGACAGCCCAGCCAAGAGCAACCCGGAGCCATACAACCTGGGGAGCGGCAGAGGAGCCCCAGGCTGTCACACGCTGGGGCAGCTCCAACAGAGGAGATCAGAAATGGGGCACGGGTGCTCCAGGGGTGCCCTCCAGTATCACGCAGTCAGAGCTGGAGATGTGCCTGGACTGGAGCACCAGGAAGCCACCTTAGAAACCCGAACACAAGCCATCACTCTTTCAGTTCACCCTGGCCTGATGCAACTAGTGGCAAAAACCTGATGGAGCTGGATGTGGCATTTCACATCTCTACAACTGGAATCTGAGATACTTATATCCTCCCGAACTGTTAAATGTATCATATCGGCAGCAACTGAGAGTTTTAGCATTCCTTCACAGTACCCACATTTTGGAAAAATATAGCTGCTAAAGGGACAATACGTGCAGTACCATAGCGCGGGAGGGAGGAAGGAATACAGGAACGAAGGGGAGAAAAAAAAAAAAAAAAAAAAAAAAACAGAAAAAGATTTTATTCTCTCCTATATAGTTCTGAGGCATCAAGGTCGATATTACAGACTATCTGGAGATGTCAGCAAAACAAGCTCTGCTCCAAGTGGTGATAAAAGTGTGATTTTTGACCATTTATTTTCTCTCTCGCCTTCCCTCGGAGCTGATGGCACGCTAACAGCGGTACTGTGCTCTTTCCGCTCGGCTGTCAGGCAGGTCCAACACACGCCGGCTTCGTACGATGCTACTTAAGGAAGTGAGACAGAAGAACATCTTTAACGTTAAGGATGTGAACAAACACTCTTTTAAATTTATATCTATGGTCTTTTAATGACCTTTTCGAGAACTGAGTAAGCCGCATTGATCGCTGCAGCTTCCGCCTGTGGGGAGGCAGTCTTATTAAAAAGCAATGACTCAAGCCCTCTGCTTAGAGGGGGAATTAGGACGTGCCGTGTGAAATACCACGAGGGCAACTTTCCTGTCTGCTGTGGCGAGTGACGGATCCAGGGTCAGAAATATCAAACCCTCTAATTCTTTTTCCTGTTTTTACTGGGGAGGCTGGGCAGTTGAGTTAATCTTGCTGCGACCCCCAGGCAAGGAACCTCTGCTTTCGGTTTGGGTGTTCCTGGAAAACTTACAGGAAAAATTATACCTCTGGGAAGTAGTTTCCTACTCAGACCAAGGTGGGTTTAAAGGATCATTGGATGTACAGAAGCAACACGTGTGTCCTTGAGTGCCAGCAGACCTGCCAGGGCTGACCCTGCCCCAGCCGCTCCTGCTCTGTGCCCACTGCAGGGCTGCAGCATCGGGGGACACAGCGCGGCACTCGAGACGCAGGGAAAGCACCGAGGGAAAGCAAATATCCCACACCTCTCTCCCTACTACAATAGCATATATGTTTTTCCTACTACAAATAACAGCAGGGAGGGGTTTTTTTTATACAGCAAAGACTTGTTTCCAACAAAATTGAAAATATCCTTCAGGCTGATCCCAGCTTCTGCCTTATGAAAACATGAACGGCCAGAAAGCAATGAAAGCAGAGAGCATTCCTGTTATTTAAGGACAAGACAAGGTCTTGGGCATCCCCAATTAAATTAGGACTGTCAGAAGCAGTGTCATGTGAAACAGGCAAATTCTGCACCTCAAGCATCCTCATGAAGGACCCATCTTTCTTTCACCTTAAATAACCACCAAACTCTTGCTCCAAAAGACAACGTTTCCTGGACAGCTCTCCGCAGCCCAGAAGGAGTCTGCCAGCACTGTCCCCGTCTCCCTCTAATACCATCGCCTTTGCTCTTCTCCCTAGTAAGGAAGCCTGCCGAGCAAAACAGGAAACCTGCTGGCAACCAGGAGGCCAACAGGAGCAACCCACATCTCCACTTGTTGCAACACTTTGGATCAGCTGCTCAAGGTGGGCTGAATACAACCATGCATGGAAGAGCCAAAGGTCTACGCCATCTCCTGTCCCATCCTCAGCAGCCTGGAGCTGTCCAGTTGGTTCCTCACATGCTGCTCACAGCCACCG